CCCATTGATTCCCGTTTTGCTAGGGCTCCTTGATGCCACACTCGGTCGAATGCAGCCTTGATATCAAGGGCTGTCACTCTCACCTCACCTCTGGAATTCAGCTCTTTTGTCCGTGTTTGAACCAAGGCTGTAATGAGATCAGGAGCTGAGTGGCCCTGGCGGAACCCAAACTGGGCGTCACTGAGCAGGTTATTGCTGAGCAGGTGCTGCTTGATAGCGCTGTTACTGACACCTTCCATCACTTTACTGATGATCGAGAGTAGACTGATGGGGTGGTAATTTGCTGGGTTGGATTTGTCCTGCTTTTTATGTACAGGACATACTTGGGCAATTTTCCACATTGTTGGGTAGATACCAGTGTTGTAACTGTACTGGAACAGCTTGGCTAAGGGAGTGGCAAGTTCTGGAGCACAAGTCTTCAGTACTATTGCCGGAATGTTGTCAGGGCCCGTAGCCTTTTCAGTATCCAGTGTCTCCAACTGTTTCTTGATATCACGTGGAGTGAATCGAATTGGCTGAAGACTGGTATCTGTAATGCTGGGGACCACTGGAGGAGGCCGAGATGGATCATCCACTCGGCACTTCTGGCTGAAGATCCCTGTGAATGCTTGAGCCTTGTCTTTTGCACGGATGTGCCGGGCTCTTCCATCATTGAGGATGGGGATATTTGTGGAGCCTCCTCTTCCAGTGAGTTGTCTAATTGTCCACCACCATTCACGACTGGATATGACAGGACTGCAGAGCTTAGATCTGATCCGTTGGTTGTGGGATTGCTTAGCGCTGTCTATCACTTGCTGCTTTCACTGTTTGACGTGCAAGTAGTCCTGTTTGGTGGCTTCACCAGGTTGATACCTCATCTTGAGGTACATCTGGTGCTGCTCCTAGCATGCCCTCCTGCACTCTTCATTGAACCAGGGTTGATCCCCTGGCCTGTTGGTAATGGTTGAGTGGGGGATATGCCGGGCCATGAAGTTACAGATTGTGCTGGAGTACAATTCTGCTGCTGTTGATGGCCCACAGTGCCTCATGGATGCTCAGTCTTGAGTTGCTAGATCTGTGCGAAGTCTGTCCCATCTAGCACGGTGATAGTGCCATACAACACGATAGAGGTTGTTCTCAATGTGAAGGCCGGACTTCGTCTCCACAAGGACTGTGCGATGGTCACTTTCACCGATACGGCCATGGACAGATGCATCTGCAGCTGGCAGATTAGTAAGGACGAGGTCAAGTATGTTTTTCCCTCTTGTTGGTTCCCTCACCACCTGCCGCAGACCCAGTCTAGCAGCTATGTCCTGTAGGACCTGACCAGCTCAATCAGTAGTACCGCTGCCGAGCCACTCTCGGTGGTGGACATTGAAATCCCCCACCCATTTTGTGCCCTTGCCATCCTCAGTGCTTCCTCTAAGTGTTGTTCAACATTGAGGAGTACTGATTCATCAGCTGAGGGAGGACTGTGTGTGGTAATCAGCAGGAGGTTTCCTTGCCCATGTTTAACTTGAAGCCATGAGACTTCATAGGGTCCGGTGTCAATGTTGAGGACTCCCAGAGCAACACCCTCCCGACTGTATACCACTGTGCTGTCCCCTCTGTTGATGGGACAGGACATATCCAGGGATGGTGATGGTGGTGTCTGGGACATTGTCTATAAGGTATGATTCTGTAAGTAAGACTATGTCAGGCTATTGCTTGCCTAGTCAGTGAGACAGCTCTCCCAATTTTGGCACTAACCCCCAGATGTTAGTGAGGAGGACTTTGCAGGGTCAACAGGGCTGTTTCTGCTGTTGTCTTTTCCGGTGCCTAGGTCAATGCCAAGTGATCCGTCCAGTTCCATTTCTTTGAGTCTTTGTAGTGATTAGTGACTGTCTCTAAATTTGTCCTCCATCCCCCAAAGTCAAGACATCATCTCCACATCTACATATCAAACCCTTACAGAAAATCTCTCAGGTCACACTCTCAGCCTTTACTTTTCTGGAGTAAAGAGCCCCAATGTGTTTAATCTTTCTGGTTCGTTATAACTTTCATTTCCAGTAACACCTTAAGAAAGTTTTGATGGACGCCTCCTTGTGTTTCACCATTGTATTGGGTCGTGCATATGTGACCAGAATATATTTGAGATACATCTTAAGACATAACCATTAGTTGATTTGGTAAGTATGATACTTAAACACATTTATACATTGCCATATTTAGGTATAAATGAAGTAAACTACAGTTTCTAATTAATGCAGCATGTTATAGGGAACCTTAAAATATGATAAAAAGACTAAGATTTCCCATTTTATGCAACTGAAAAATAAAGGAGGCAAGGAAACTGCAACATTAAAATGGACATTTTGTTCTGATATGCCAACAACATTCTTATATGGCTCTGCAATTATTATGTAAATACCATGCGCTATGCTAGTTTGAGATCACTACACAATAGCAAGTGAAATATATAAAAATTGAACTCAGTCCATTAGAAAACTGATAGAAAAGGATCATTCCTCATAGTCCAACTAATTTACTTATTTGTCGAAGCTGATTTTCTGTCCTAATGCTTTTGCCCAATGTATAAAGGTGGGAACTTTTTCCCAATTTGTT